TCGTATTAGGTAGTGATACTAGTTCCGTTATTGAGAGTGTATGTGCTAGATGACAATTCATCAGCCATTATTGTCTTCTGTGTTGGAAGTTCCGATGTGAAATTGGAGAATTATTCTTGTCTCAAAGTCAGGTCAAATGCTCGTTGAGAAAGTTTTATAAAACGAAGTGTTTGCTCAAAAACTTATCTTCATTCGAATTCAAGTTTCCTAAGAGTGCATCTTAGCTCCTTGCTCGAAGTTTCAATACTAGCTCAAAGTAAAGCTTACAATATTGCCTATCTTTTACTACTTATCCTATGTAATAGGAAGAGGACGCGGAAGAGTTTCATAGAAATGTTCTAACTTCTATGTCGTGCTACATAATGAAAAACTCACGTTGAGGTATTCTCTTGTGAACGGCATATCGGCACCAACTAGGCTTTTCAATCTGTTGTAGTAGAAATCAAGCAAAGGATGTAGCAGTTTTCTTCGATTTGCAACACTAGTGCTTGTACTCAAGACGCGAAGCAAATCTTCAACCTGTAAGAAAATAGGCAATTGATAAATTTTCATGCATGGAAATGCATGAAAAATAATTTCAGGCCAACATATATGTAATAGTAGAAGAATCCATCCAAATTGTAAGGAGAAGAGAAAACTTCTTACTGGACTTCCTCGATGAACCATTTGCCAGTCGACTATTCCTCCAATGGTCACATCATCCCGCCACATTACTTGAGGAGCCCACAAGTCACCATGTACCAGCACGAAATGTCTGTCTGAGGTGGAAAAAAGATCTTAAAGCTTGAATTCTGACTAATTTACCTATTCAGTAGTTTTCATAATAAGTAGGGGAAAATTGTTTGTTGTAAATTACCAATATGGATTATAATGAACCACCACCCTACTTATTATATCAGGGGTACGATTTCATGCTCGCAGTTTTCACTAACCTCACAAAGAGTAAATTCCAAAAGTTTCAAAGCTCAAAAAAATCAGTTGATTCAAACAAACTCGGAGTTACTCGCAATTCCTCCGAGTTGGGGCA